CTGTCGCCGGTCTGCACGGGGACCCGCTGGAGCGCAGGGGTGCGGGCAGGGCCCCGGGCCCCGCTTCGTCCGGGTGCCTTCCCGCGCCTCTTCTGGCTTACGTCGTTTTAGGGGGAGGCTCGTTTACGTGGCTTTAGAGCCCCTCTGAGATCAACGCGTACGCTGGGTGATCCTTTCCCAGGGCTTTCCGAGCAATAATGCTCAAACGAGGGAGAACTTCATGACCTGTGGGTGAATAACTTTGCACTTCTTACTGTCGGATTTTCTCCCTGCTTAATTACCCTCGGTTTTCCTTCATGGTAGTCTGGTCTTTTTTAAGCTGTTCGTAGTTCTCCGTCATCAACCTACCCCTACTTGTGCCAGGGCGGTTAACAGAAGTGTGGAGTGGCCCTGGCCCTTCGAGGTCGCCACTTGTTACTTCTTAGTTCTAGCCTGATCTCTCCGTTTCAGTGCTTAGATCTCCGTCCAGTACGTGCCGCGGCACAGCTGCGCTTAGCTGCCATTCTTCTGCTGGAAAAATAGAACAAAAAGGTGGAAGATTTTTTTTTTCCCCCCATTATCCTTTAACACGTATACATTGACCTGAGTTTTGCCGTTCCTGGAATCTTACACTTCCCCACTTCTAAGATGTAGTTTTCTTTCTTGACCTGTATTTTCCCTTTATTCTGATTTTTGTTTTTCTTACTCTCATATCTTCTTGAAGTGGTTATTGATTCTGTTGCATTTGGAGCCTCTACTGTTTTCCTCATTTTGGAGTGTGATTTACAGATAGTAATAGCAACTTCGATGTAAGAAATTTCAGGGTGTGTTTTTTGCCTTCTAATTCCGGAGCTCCCCAGTCCAGAGAACTTCATTAGCTAATGTCCAGTGTGTCGGAATTTTCCCATTTGCAGTCCAAAACCCTAGCTACAAGCCTATTTCTGTTTATCTATCTTCTTAATTTAAATTGAATAAATCAATTTATGATGCTTCAGTACAAAGTTACTTTCTACTGCTGGTTCTTCTGAGCCCACCATCGTGGGATTTAACTGCTAATGGATATTTATTTTTGTATTTTCAGGTTTTAAAAGCATTTGGTTACTCCTCTCCTTGGAAGGGACAGGAACAGATGTACAAGCTGGACATAGGCTGGCCTAAAATTCCAGAATACTTCACTGGTCAAACATTTTGTGTTGCTGTTGACTCTCTTCATGGTTTGGTCTTTGTGGGACAAGTGAGTGAGAATACTGTACTTCTCTCCTTGTTAACCTAGTGTATTTTTGCCTTTAAAGTGTCTGGTTTAGATTAAGAGAGAGATATGTGTGTGTGCATATATATGAATAATTATTGTATCAAAATTAGTGAAAATGTAAGTATAGATATCTCTGCTATATCCATTTTTTAAAGCAGTTCTGGGAGCGTACTTGCTTGTGCTTTTAAAAGCATTAAATTTCTGTGATACGAATGTATGATCCAACTTAACTGAGTTACAGTAGCTTCTCCTCTAACTGTAAGGTAAGCTGTGTTTCTGGGGCAACTGCCTAGTCCCCTTCCACTCTTTCAGCCTTTGTCCCATGAAGTCAAAACCACGCGGCTCTTTCAGTCAGTTACCGTAATTGGAGTTCAATTGTTTGCTTTACCCCGTTCCATGCATTGGTATCTCTAGGTCACGGATAAGATATTCTGTCCATGGGAAGCGGAGGGATTTAATTGTAAAGCACAGTATGAGTACTTGAGTACCATACAGCTGACAAGTACAGTTACTGTTTCTCGTGCCTGTGTTATGCTTAGTGTATTTTTCAGCAAGAACATGAAAACGTGATTCAAAATCAAGACCATGATAGCTGCAAGAGCTTGGCTGCTCTGAAAATTGGACTCTACATGATTTAAGTTGAAAGTCTAGAAGAGTGGACGGTTTTGCACGCTAAACTTAGACCCTTCTCTCTCTTTCCTTTTCTAGCTGGAGAAAATGAGGTCTAGCAGACAATCTCAGGAGATTCTTATGATTCATGAAATGTTGCAAAATCCTTACAAAGAGGAATTTTCAACAATATGATTACTTGCTTAATATGTTTTCTTAATAGACCTTTTTTGCCTTTTCAGAGGGGAGACAATGTACCAAAGGTACTTGTATTCTCAGAGGAAGGCTATTTTCTTTACTCCTGGAATAATACAGTTGAAATGCCTCATGGTATCTTTGTATTGAACACTGCAACAGATAGTTCAGTATGGATCACAGATGTTGGAACAGGTATGTATGGTGGTGATATGAGAAGTATTATGTGGGGAAGAAAATGCTAATATTGCAGATAGTACTTTAAACAGATCATTTATTTAAGTGTCTCAAACAATTCTGAGACGGATTTGTGCTTTTCTTGCTGTGAACAAACTTCTCAGGTGCTGCACAAAATACTTTGAAGGTTCATGAGTTGTGCTGTGTGTCTGCTTATAGCTTCTGAACTTAGTGAGCAAGTTTGGTTTTGGGGTTTGTTTTTGGTTTTTTGGTTTTGTGGGTTTTTTTTCCCCAGGAGAAGTACAGGGGGGGGGAAAATCTTCTGGCTAGACTTATCTTCTGTCCTAGGTTTGGTGGCCCTAATACAATGGATGAATGTTGTTGTAGTTTATGGATATACTAACCCACAGTCGTATTCTCACTATAGAATTTTGTCTGTTTGATTCATTAATATCACTTGTGAGTATCAGGAGATTTTCTTTTTTAATCTTTGCAATCAGTTGTAATACTTACATTTTGTTTTGTTAAGATGTTTTTGCACTTTTTTTTCTTAATTCAGGGAAATACGGGCACACTGTGAAACAGTATAGCCCTTCGGGTAAACTTATGCAGATCTTGGGCACGCCAGGTAATGCTGGTTCAAGTTTGATTCCCCTACAATTTGATCAACCAGCAGAGATCTTTGTAGAGGAAAGTGGAGATATCTATGTTGTGGATGGAGACGGAGGAATGAATAACAGATTGCTCAAACTATCCAACGGTATGGAAAAATGAACTTCCGCAGTAGTTGACCATTGAAAATTGAATTTTAAACAACACAGCTTGAGAATACTTTTAAGCGAGGACTAGGTAGAGCTGTCATTTAGCATTAGTTTGAAAACTGTTGGATCAGGTCCTGTTTTACTGCTTGTCTTGTCTTCAAGAGAGAAGGCTAAGGAGGATTCTTATCGCTGTCTTCAAGTCAGTAATGGGAGGGTATAGAGAAGGCAGAGCCACACATTCTTGGAGAGGCACAGTGAAGAATGAGGAACGCTGAGCAAAAGATATAACAGAGGGGAATTCCAGTTTGGTTTTTGGAGGGAAAGATTCACAGTGAGGGTGATCAGACAGTGAATAGTTTGCCCAGAGAGGGCGTACAGTCTCCACTCTTGGAGATGCTCAAAACTTGATGAGTTTTGAGTTATGATCTAACTTCAGAGTTGGATTTCTTAACAAGGCTAGTCCTTCTTTGAGAAGCAGGTTGGACCCGCTGGTGTCTGGACATCTTTTACACTTAAATTATTCTGTGATTCTGATTAGCTTGCTCATGTTCCACAGTTAGATGGTCAGTGTTGGTTAGGACTGTGAGTGAGGAGTCTGCACATGTCTGCAGTTGGGGAAAAGTGGAGGAGCTACCGTTTCTCCTTTGTGCTATCATAAAACAGTTGGTTTGCTAATATCTAGTTTGCAAAATGGTAAATTGTTAAAACTGGCAGGTAATGTAAAAAATCGATTTAGTAAACAAATAAATATCATAATCGGCCACCTGTTTCTATATATATATATTTTTTTTTAATACAGTGCTTAACAGAGCCTTGGACTATGGCTTTTGTGCACTCGTGGCTACATTTCTGTAACCATAATCCTGAAACCACTAATAATAATCCAGTAGTTCCTGTGGTAGTTCCAGTATTTCTTGGGTTTATGTATTGGGAGTACTGTGTTTAAAAAGCCTGGGTTTAGAAATTCCACCTTTTAAAAATGACTCGGTGTAACTTTGGAAGGGAATGACTTAAAGCTATTTATTTGTTGTTTCCTTACTGTGATTTTTTTACTTTTATTTTTCATGGTGCTCACCGTTTAGATTACAAAGAGATATGGCTGGCTGGAACAAATGGGACCGGCATTGGTCAGTTCAAGATTCCTCACAGTGTAACAGTGGATCCTTTTGGACGGGTAAAGAATAAAGGGAGAATTTTTTTTCATCTTCCGACAGACTTGTTTACATGTATTTGAACAAAACAAATTGTATTTCTTTTTAATTGAACTGTTGTGATCTGGGTCATTTTTATGTGGGTTACAGTTTCAGTGTGATAGTGGTCATAAGCTGAAGTTTCACACTGCACATCCTACTAAAGTAGCTGGCTGCAAGGTTAACACAAGGGTTCTCACCGGTTACGTTGTCAATGTCCATGCAACAACAGACTGTTCCTCCTGCAGTTCCTAACAGGCTGCCATTGTGAGAGTACAGAATTATGTTCTGTAATAAATATCTACCTGAGTGCTTAAGTTTCTTCAGGGGACTTTAATTTCTTATTTGGAAATTCCAAATAAGATGATAGTAGGGCTCTGGCTAGGTTGTGAACATCGGTCCTTTTCTACATGCAGCTCAAGGCATTCAAGAGTCTGCTGCTGCCAGGTGTTAATCATAGTCTGGCTTTTGCCCTGCTGCTCTTATAGAGGAATTGTGCGGTTGCTCCTTAACGTGTTTCAGGGAAAATAAGATTACTTGACTAAAACATCTTAAATCACTGGTTTGAGCTAATTCTGCTGATGCTGTCTGAACCAGAATAAGAAGCATATATAAAAATCACTTCTCTGCTAAAACTGGCAGGGTAGGAGGGAAAGAGGAGGGACATGGCCGCTTTGTGTTGAAGGGTAACCGTGAGTGTATACATTCAAAGACAGCAATTGCAATGGGCTATGATTTTATTGCCAACGTGGTGTTGATCATCAGCCTAGGTTAGAAATAATTGTCAATTCCTAAGAAATCTAAGAGACTGCTGCAGTAGTGTTTCATTTAAAAATAGTGATGAAAGATCTCAGGTCAACTTGTTTATTGCTCCCTTTCTGGTGATACCCCAGAAAAGTCATGAAGTTTACTTATCAGACTGACGAGTTGTCAACAGCTGTAAGTTCGATGATTGTAATACAAGAGAGGCCTTCACTGGAACTGTCTAGTGGTATTGCTAGCTCGCAGTGTTTGTGAACCCGGTTAGCACAGGGTGGAACAGAGATAAGCTCCACAAAACTGATTAGACAAAACATGCTGAAAATGCTCTTAGTGTTTAAGTTGCTCAATATTTATAGTAGTATTAGGCATATCAGAGTGTTTGCAGATGCAGTCATCATAGGTCTGGATCATGAAATGAGACTACTGTTGAAAAACAAATTGTTAGCGGGTGACAGACCAGTATCTTTAGAATTAAATAGGTGGGAATATGTCCTCACTGGGGGCAGGGGGATATCCTACTAAATATATCCATATCATAGCCACAAAAATGAAGAGAAGGCAGATTTCTCTGTTGAAGTAGTATAAAATAATTTGTGTATCTTAACTATGTGGTGGGTTTGTTTTATATCTGGAAGTCATATCTACTTATTTAGTTTTGAACGTGGAGGTACCTTCTTCCAAGGTGTACTTCTTTTTTACTGCAGGCTACTTTGCTCATGTAAGAAACTAATACATTTGATTTGTTCTATTTGTGAACAGACATGATTTTTGTTCTTAACAGGTATGGGTTGCAGACAGAGACAACAAAAGAATCCAAGTTTTTGATAAAGTCACAGGGGAATGGCTCGGGTCTTGGAGCAGCTGTTTTTCAGAAGATGGACCCTATTCTGTCAGGTATTGTTGAACAGTTCTTCTAGAAGCGTGCAATTACATAAATAAGGTGTGCTCTTACTGGTGAATTAAAATGTTGATATTTAATGTCTGATGACAAGGGATTAACCAGTTTAACTAATAGGGTGCTGGGCCCTAATCATGTGCAAAGATCTGCACAGTTGTATCTTGACAGGGAAATCCTGGCTTTATAACAAGCCCCATGGATTTGAGTGCAGGACTGGGAACTTCATTTTAAAATTGTTGTGTGTTGTTGAGCTTACTGTTGCAGCTTTTACAGGAAGAGAGATTGTCTTGAATGAGTTATCTGTAGCATAATCTGTCTCAAGGAGCAGCAACATGTAGAGCAAGGCTTACAAGTTAATTGTCAATGTTTCACTGCATTTAGTCCGTTGTAGCCTTCAAAACCTTGACTATTAAGGAGGTTTTGTTTGTTTTAAAGTGCATGGTTGTGTTAAAATGAGAAGTCATATGGACTTCATAATTCAACAATATATTTGTCTTTCACAGATTTACGGCCAATTACAAATACCTGATTGTAGCTCAGCTGAACATCAACCGGTTAGCAATCTTGGCGGCACCACCGGTTGGCTCTATTGGGGACTGTGTTATGGTCAACACAGTCCAGCTGGCAGATGAGACCAAACCACACCTTGTGGATGTAGACATGAAGAGCGGAGCGGTCTATGTTGCAGAGATTGGAGCCCAGCAAGTACAAAAGTACATACCTTTAAGCTGATGGTTTCCCACAGCTGCCGTGGCACAAGCTGTGTGACATATAAGACCTATGACCACATTTCCTTGAGTTTTCTGTAGCTTGTGTTTCCTTAGACAAGCACAGAACATTGTGCTCCCAGAACAGTAGAGCTAAGAATCTGTCCTAGCTGTTCTGCGGTCCTGGAGAAGTACTTGGTACTGAGCTGTTACTCATTTTAGTAATGCTATGGTGGCTTTTGCTTTTGTTGCTGGGAATTGTAAAATGACTTTGATAAGCATCTTAATTTTATTATATAAAACTTCACAAACACAGATGCTGTTTTTAAATGTATAGGGTCATCTTGGGGCTCCTCTGCTTAGCCTGTTTGTGTTGTTAAATGAAGGTCAGAACTGTCTGAAGTGTATAAATGGTTTCCTGGAAAGCAAGCACCTCATTTTAATGTTTCTTCACTTGTTTTTTGGATTCATTGTGCTGGTACTGCCCAACAATGAATACAGAGATGCATTATGATGTTGAATAAGGTGCTGCTGGATACTGGTGTCAGTGCTGATACTGGCATCTGCCTTAGGTGGTTAATAACATAAGCATTGGAATCTAAGTTTTCAGCTCTACCTAAAGTGGTAAAGTCTGTAATAAGCTTAAGTTAAATTGATATTGGGCACTTCGAATTAAGTTAAAAGTATGTGCACAGCAGCCAAGTACTGCTTCTTACTAAATCAATTCTTAACCTGGTTTGATTTATATCAGTATGAGTTTTCTGTTCCGTAAGATTTCATAGTGGAACGTATTGAAGTTCAACTCATAAGTTCCTCAAGATAAACAAATTGCAATTTGCTCGGAAAGTCTTAATCAGCATTAGGGACTGGGAGACACATGATTTTCTCCCAATTTCATTGAAGCTCCGTCAGTTAACAGCAGTGCATCTGTTTGGATTTGGGGATTTTAAACTGTTTTATATCCAGCGTTTAGACTTCATCAACTCCATTAATGTCTAGAGTTAAGTTTCTTATGCTATATCCTAGCAGATGTCTCCAAAGTCTGTTGTAAAAAATGCTGTCTCTTTCTATTCCCAGTCCAGAGTCGTTCTGTTTTCTTCACATGTTGCAACAAGATTTTAAGTTAGTTCACTTTATAGCACAAAGGGAAATGGGTATAGGAAAATGGGATGGGGAAAATGGCATGGCAGAAATGAGACAGTGAATAACTGATTACCTCTGTAAAGCTGTGAACCCACATTCCGTATTTATCTACTAGCTCTTCAAAACATTTGAGAGGTTTTTTGCTGTTTCCACACACTTATTCTACTGTGTGGACTATTTTAATGCTAATTACCAGCTAAGAGAGGCAATTTTTTTTCAACTTCCTTAGAAAGGGAATATGGGAAATGGAATTATTCTGATGGGAAGTATCCACTTCAGTGAGTGTTATCAAAAGCAAATGCATCTTAATTTGGCAGGTTTCAACCTATGATCACAAATTTCTGGGTCAGCAGATGGGAAAACTATCCAGAAAAGTCAGATTCATATGTTCCGTAGAAAGTAACTCAGCTGTGGAGCTTGATGGCTTGATTTCAGTACTATTTGAGATTAATGCACTAAATATGAATGCTTTGTTGTTGGCTACATCCACAATAACAAAAGATCCAACTTGGCTGCCCTCATGCAAGCCTTAGAACCAGAACTTCAGGGTTATACACTAACAAATACGATCCATCATTCACAAGGTCTTGAATGGGAGCTAGTAAGCAATATTTATTAGCTGAAAAAGTAGCAGTACTTCCTCTAGACTTAGATGGATAGGTCCACATTGCTTTGCAGTGTGTTGTTTGGATTTTCTGACTAGGTCTCCACTAGCTCAGGGATCTCTGCTCTGTGTGCAGTTTAGCTATTTCTCATCCACACAAGGTGGATTTCTTTTCAAAAATATTACGCTCAAATGTAGTTAATGATATTACAGTATCTTGGTGGAGTAAGGGGTCCAGGTACATCCATCCTTCCTCACCACATCCTCTCCTTATTTATTTTTCCTGTGTCATATCCATTTGAAACTTGACTCGAAGCTCTCTGTGAACATGCTTCTGTGTTCAGTAAAGGAGTAGTGCACTTTTGGATGTTGACGAATAAGTTATTTCTACAAGGTTCTGTTTGCTGCGTGGATCTGCTCTCAGCTCTCTTTTTACATTGGCTTTTGCAGCCCCTAGAAATGGGGAGCATTCATCCAGTTTTGTCTGGCTTTACTGAAGCAGGCCGTGGTGCCAAAATGTGCCTTGCCTCTAGGCATTTGGGTATCTGTGATAAGAAGGGATGCTCATTATTAACTAGTATGAGATGCTTAGACTCCTTTTTACCTCTGCGTCTATGACCAGACTGAGAAAATGATTGATTTGTGCACTAACTTGCTAATTCTCTGAAGGTTTTCTTATGTATCATCTTGAAACTGATTTCTGAAAAACTGCGTAGTAGGATAATTTGATAAAATAAATTGAGAATTTCCAATTATGAAAGGCTTGGGCGCTTTATTTCTGGACTAATATCAATACATTCCATTGCAATGGATTACTCTTCTAAATATGGGGTCCTCGGTGCTTTAATAAGGTATTTAATAATTTATGATACCAACATTCAAATGTCATCTAAAATTCCATGTTATCTTTATGCATTACTATTTCTGTGGCCCATCCCTTATGCATTCTAATTTATGTATCAAAAAAGGCACAGAAATCTCTTCCAGATGTTTTCCTCTGAGTAATTAGTAAAATGGGATGATGAGTTACATAAGTGCGAAGTATAAAAAAAAAATTTAAACTGTATACCCTTTTGACACTAATAGGGAAATTAAAAACAAACTAACAAAACACTTCTTAATGTAGAATCAGGTTTTATTTCCAGAAAAGATTTACCGAGCAATCTGTTTAGTTTTTAGAAGATCAAGAAGGGACTTCTTTATGGGTTAGAAATACTTGCACAAGAAGAAAAAACATACTACAGTGTTAACTAGACAAGAAGGAAAATGTAAGGTGATTGCTAGAACCCCCCAAAAATCTAGTTTTAGTTAATAGATGTCAACTTTTAAGTACGAGAAGTAATCACTGGAGTATCCAAGTAAAGGAAATAGGAATATTCCGTGGTTTGATGTCTCCAACTTCGCAGCTTTTTTTTTTTCTTTTTTCTTTTTTTTTTTTTTTTTAATTGATCCTTTTCTCTGGCTAAGTACCTAGATTGTTAGCTGGATGACATTCCCAGGAGGTAAGACCAGGTCTATTAATACAGTTCATCTTGATTTTTTCGGTGATGCTAATCAGCCTTTTTTTGTGTGTGTGTTATTGTAGTCAACAATTGATTAACAATATCTGTCTGGCCAAAACAAAAGGGGCCTGAATCAGGTTTGTGCCATGCAAGATCAGTCTAGTGAGGCTGAGCTGGCTCTATAAAAGCTGAGGGGGAAGGTGCACAGCTATGTCTGTGGGTCTGCTCATTGTTGTTAGTAAGTTCACTACCTTAAAGTGGTTATTAACCTTTCTGAAGCATTAAGTAGTTAGTTATCTTAGTTGACACTTACTTTCTTAACAATTTGTAACCTGAGAAGCCTTCACAAGTGATCTATGGCCAAGAAGTGTCTGCAGTCACTGAAGTTGCTTGTGTAAAACTTAAGAGGGCACCAAACCCCTGCTGATGCTTGGCATACTCGGTGTAGCTATATACTAGCAAATGTAAACAGCTGGTAATTTCTGATCTTTTGGAGTAAGTCAACAAAGGTAATGAATTGCTCCAGACTTCCTTTCTCTTTTCAAAATAGATTACTTTAAACATAAGCAGATAATTGTGTAATAGTCATTTTGGCTTACTACTACTGGATTTATATCCATCTTTTATTTCCATTTTTTCTCCTAGAAAAAAAAAATCAGTAATTCAGTGTCCAGAGACAGCTGGGTATGGTGAATGGATTCTTCTGTTCCTTATGTCATTGATTTCAGTGGAATTACTCCTGATATGTTGCTTTGGAAACATAATAATTTATAGTAGTATAACCGTAGCAGCATAATTATACCAAAAGAGTAACGCC